TAAAAGGTATACTTGCAACTGGTTGGTCAGTAAGCAATTGCAGTGGCCTTAATAACCCTTTAGCGGTTGATAGGCCTTAAGCCCAAGCCCATATACTCGATAATGCTGAGGGATTAATGCTAACTACAGCCCTCAAGCCACAGAAGTCAACCGCATTCGTGCAGTATTGCAAGATATAGTAATAGTAGTATTATTAGGCATCCTGCAGTCTCGGGAGACTGCAGGAATGTTCTTTGCTTCTAGTACAACAGCACTAGGTGCAACAGCACTAGGTGCAACAGCACTAGGTGCAACAGCACTAGGTGCAACAGCACTAGGTGCAACAGCACTAGGTGCAACAGCACTAGGTGCAACAGCACTAGGTGCAACAGCACTAGGCGCAACAGCACTAGTTGCAACAGCACTAGGTGCAACAGCACTAGGTGCAACAGCACTAGGTGCAACAGCAAATGTTTTGACAACCAACATGGAGTCAAAACACTGCTGGCAAAGTCCAACACAGCTGGACCCTTACCAGCAACACAGCTAACACGTAGTAATAATGGACCTAATTTAATACCTCAGGATTGTTTATATGTGGGTTCCCAAAATCCGTCGTAACTAACCAAATTATGGAGAATCTTCAACTTATAACTCACAGATCACCTTAAACATATCTGGGTTCTTAGATATGTTTATGGTGCTTTACAAGTCCTATCACCTACTTATTTACCTGTGACTAACTTTATAAGTCACAGGACCTTAGACTTATAAAAGTAGAAAATGTTTATGTAGATATACCAGACCTATGTCGGTAATTGTAGTTGATAAGCTTCTGTCTTACCTGCAAGAAAATGATCTCGGGGCTTCAATAGAACACCTGAAAGATAGAGAGAAAAAATTGCCTGATCCTCAGATGAAATCTGATCACAAGTATACAGGTATTCTCATGGGGCAGATTACCCTGGAAACACAAACCGAAAATGTCTATTTTCCGCTTGTTACAACTTGTAATAAAGTTGTTACATCTTGGCTTAACGTGTTTATGACGTATTAGAACGTTGTTACAACTTGCTATATTGGTTGTTATAACTGGTTAGGAGGTGTTAAAACTTGTTCGAACGTTGTACCAACGTCGTAGTTTCGGTGTGTGTGTTTGGCGGGTTATTAATTGCCACAATTATATCCATTGGAAGGAAATATTTCTGGGAATGAACTTGATACATTACATAGGAGACGTGTTATTGTCTGGGCTGGTACAGCGACCTAACGAGGCGAGGAAATACATGAACGGTGAGAGCTGGAGGGGGGGGGGGGGACTGGGCACAGAACAATTACCACTTGAAGTCTCTCAGATGATTTAAGGACTGGAAGGAAGCAAACTCTATTCATACTTTTAAAATTAGGTATGATAGGGAAATGGGACAGGAGTCATTGCTGTAAACAACCGATGGCTGGAAAGGCGGGATCCAAGAGATCCTGCAAGCACAAATAGGTGAATAGGTGAGCACACACACACACACACACACACACACACACACACACACACACACACACACACACACACACACTGTTGATTGACGGTTGAGAGGCGGGACCAAAGAGCCAGAGCTCAACCCCCGCAAACACAACTAGGTGAGTACAACTAGGTGAGTACACACACACACACACACACACACACACACACACACACACACACACACACACACACACACACACACACACACACACACACACATTCTTAGCTTAAAACATTTGCTATATACCGATTTGTGTTGTACTGCTCACAAGTTTGGTCATGGGAACTCTACTTGTTGCACTAAAGAGTTCTTTCGTCGTCTCTGTCACCTCAAAGCTCCGTCTACACTTTTCACTTAAATTCTTTCAGACATCCCAAACAGTAAAGTGATCGCCGCTTCTCTCCACATAACACCCTCTTCGTCCGGCCAGAAGCGTGAGTCAGATCACTACTCCTCTTCCTGACCCAGACGGAAATACTCTTCAACTTGGTGGTTTACAGGCGCCTGGGACCACTTTATAACTTGGTTTACAGGCGCCTGAGGCCACTTTATAGCTTGGTTTACAGGCACCTGAAGCCACTTTATAACTTGGTGGTTTACAGGCGCCTGGGACCACTTTATAACTTGTTGGTTTACAGGCGCCTGAGGCCACTTTATAACTTGGTTTACAGGCGCCTGGGACCACTTTATAACTTGTTGGTTTACAGGCGCCTGAGGCCACTTTATAACTTGGTTTACAGGCACCTGAGGTCACTTTATAACTTGGTTTACAGGCACCTGAGGCCACTTTATAACTTGGTTTACAGGCACCTGAAGCCACTTTATAACTTGGTTTACAGGCGCCTGAGGCCACTTTATAGCTTGGTTTACAGGCACCTGAGGCCACTTTATAACTTGGTTTACAGGCACCTGAAGCCACTTTATAACTTGGTTTACAGGCGCCTGAGGTCACTTTATAACTTGGTTTACAGGCACCTGAAGCCACTTTATAACTTGGTTTACAGGCGCCTGAGGTCACTTTATAGCTTGGTTTACAGGCACCTGAGGCCACTTTATAACTTGATGGTTTACAAGTGCCTGGGGCCACTTTATAAATTGTAGCCTCAATTTCAATGAAACTTTTTTAAGAAAATTGAATTCGTAAAGTCTCTTACTGGTAGAGGTTTCAGCTTTGTAAAATAAAAAACACAATTTTCAACATAATGTCAACATTTTCAAAACTCTGAATCAATTAAAAGATTTGAAACTAATTTGTATTTATTACACTAACCTATCAATAAAACATCTGACCTCAATTCTTGTTATATAAAAGTATTCAAAATATATCTATTTGATATATAGATATATTATCTATATATCAAGAATTATGGACCAAATTTACACATTTGAAAATTTATAACAAATTATATAAACTAAAATTTTAATGTATATTACCGAGTTGAAAACATTGACCAGTATGTAGGATAGACGAGAATAGCTCTGAAACCGAGGCGTCAGAGTATAAAAATTATTAACCAAATTACTTAGGAAGAACTAGTGAAACATTTGCTCAATGGTTTTGGGCTGTTATAATTCATCAACTTTCTCCTAATTACCCATACCTATTGTTGTGGATGTGTACTCAAGCATGGCAAAGTTTCTGCCAATTATCTCTCCAACAAAAATAAAAAAATAAAAAAAATAATCAAACATGATTTAAACTTTAATATAGAAATCTACTTAAAAACACATTTAAATAGAATTTAACATGCCACTGTATTTATTTGATATCCAATGACATCATTAGCCCTGCTGTATCATAATTATATGTATTGATGCAAGCAATAGTTCTAATTCGAAGCGTTTTGGCAACTTCTTGGATCAACAAATTTAGTTTACCTGCAAGGCGAGACTATTTAGTGTACAGTCATAATATTTACGTATAATATAAATAGCTATTGTGAATTTCATAGAAATATTACAGCCAGGTACAGTAACAAGTGTCCCAGCTTTGCTTTAGCTGTACCCAGCTACGCGGGGACACTAAAGCCCCGAAATCATCTCAAGATAACCTCAAGATAACAAAGGCAGCTGCGCCACGAAGTGTAAGGCGATAGCTGGAATTTTATGAGTTTGGTGTTAGGAGAATAATAATGTTTAGTCAACTGGCGTGAGGTTGTTGGGCTTGTATTCCAATCTGTCATTATACAGGTATACACCACCACCCAAGCTGTCATTATACAGGTATACGCAGCCCCCCCCCCCCCTCGGGGGTTGAGATATGCTAAACTCTGAAATATACCGTCTCAATACTGTAACACTTGATGATATACTGGACTTGTACCTCGCATTGACTATTTAATATATTAGTTATGTATTATGTAACAATCGTCAGCTTGTAAGAGCACCTTAATCACCCTCTGTGGTTAAGTGCGTAATAACTCACTAGTTTCTATAGCATCTATCTTACCTTGACAAAGATAAAAATGTGTATTTATGTATATAATTTTAAATAAATTTTACGCATGTATGCAATACATGTGTGCATGTATGCAATACATGTGTGCATGTATGCAATACATGTGTGCATTCTCGCGCCGGCGAGAAACAATGGGCAGAGTTTCTTTCACCCTATGCCCCTGTTACCTAGCAGTAAAATAGGTACCTGAGTGTTAGTCAGCTGTCACGGGCTGCTTGCTGGGGGTGGAGGCCTGGTCGAGGACCGGGCCGCGGGGACACTAAAGCCCCGAAATCATCTCAAGATAACCTCAAGATAACCCCAGGCATCGCCTGCAACGATTTATGCAAATTTGCAACCAGTAAAAATGTTTACTGGTATAGTATATGCAATTGCAGGTATAGATTTGCGAATGTATTATTGATAAGAAAGTGCAAACTGAATTTTATAACAAATTTTCCTGCATTAATGTAGGAAGAAGAAATCGTTTTAAATGTTGAACTGGAGGTCAGATTCACGAAGCAGTGTCGCAAGTACTTACGAACGAGTACATCTTTCCTCAATCTTTGACGGCTTTGGTTACATTTATTAAACGGTTTACAAGCATGAAAACTTGTCAATCAACTTTTGTTATTGTTATAAACAGCCTCCTGGTGCTTCGAAGCTCATTAACTGTATAATAATTGTAAACAAAACTGCCATAGATTGAGAAAAGATGTACAGGTTCGTAAGTACTTGCGTAACTGCTTCGTGAATCTGAGCCTTAGTAAAAAAAAAAAATCTTGAGCCGCTACCCAAATACATATATAAGTACATTTAATTAAAAAGTGCAGATTTTATAAGTAAGGTGTAATGTAAGTAACCACGAAATTGTATAATATTCCCAAGTAATAATTGAAGATAAGTGAACACTTGAGAGTTGTTACTTAAGTCGTCTTAAATGTTGAGAGCCACGTGATGTGAGCAAGTATTTCTTTGTGAGTTGTGTGAGCTACAAGATGTGTACAACATCTGTGTTTAGCAGGAAGAAATATCCTGACCTTGTGCAGGTGTCGTAGTTTAAACTACTGAAAGCTATAGTACTGGAAGCTATGGTACTGGAAGCTATAGTACTGGAAGCTATAGTACTGGAAGTTATAGTACTGTAAGCTATAGTACTGGAAGCTATAGTACTGTAAGCTATAGTACTGGAAGCTATAGTACTGGAAGCTATAGTACTGGAAGCTATAGTACTGGAAGTTATAGTACTGTAAGCTATAGTACTGGAAGCTATAGTACTGGAAGCTATAGTACTGGAAGCTATAGTACCGGAAGCTATAGTACTGGAAGCTATAGTACTGGAAGCTATAGTACTGTAAGCTATAGTACTGGAAGCTATAGTACCGGAAGCTATAGTACTGGAAGCTATAGTACTGGAAGCTATAGTACTGTAAGCTATAGTACTGGAAGCTATAGTACTGGAAGCTATAGTACTGTAAGCTATAGTACTGGAAGCTATAGTACCGGAAGCTATAGTACTGGAAGCTATAGTACTGGAAGCTATAGTACCGGAAGCTATAGTACTGGAAGCTATAGTACTGGAAGCTATAGTACTGGAAGCTATAGTACTGGAAGCTATAGTACCGGAAGCTATAGTACTGGAAGCTATAGTACTGGAAGCTATAGTACCGGAAGCTATAGTACTGGAAGCTATAGTACTGGAAGCTATAGTACCGGAAGCTATAGTACTGGAAGCTATAGTACTGGAAGTTATAGTACTGGAAGTTATAAACCTCTGCTACTGGAAGCCTGAATGGTACTATTCCCAATTACCATCCTGGAACAATAGAGGTCATATAATAGAGTAAATATATAACAAATGTAAGGAACTTGAAGTGATATTATCGTGAAGTGAGTGGCGCCAATCAGAGCATTGCATCAGGATGCTGCAATCAGAGGAGAGTCAGAGATAAAACACATAGCTGAGTGGATAAAAAAAAACTTCTGCTTTACCTGCGTGAAGTTCATGGTTCGAATCTCCTATAGGGTCCAGATGAATAGAATTCAAACAAGATGTTTACACCAAAACTTTGTCTTCACTTTGCTAAGTTCATTATAGAGGAAGAATGTTAATTCCGTCCAGTGTATCAGTAATTCGAGACAGACATAGAAAAAAATATTACTTCAAATTTCTGTAGATTTTTGAAGGGCAGGAATGTAATTAGACCTGGATTCCAGTTCTGTTTTATATATATCAAGAGTTCCATTTTGATTTTAAATTACAATGGAAGTTGGGCCGAAAGTGCCAGTGAGTGAGGAATGGGGACGGTCTTTAGTACGTCTTGTTAGCCTTGATGTAGAGTTCTGTAAACATTCACCAGGGTTCTAGCAGACTCGAACCCTGGACTCGAGCGTGTGTGTGTGTGTGCCGATGCTCTATCGACCGAAGAAGAGGGAATTGTCAGAGGAAAGCGCCAAATCATTACGGCTAAATAGCACTGTGAATGGGTCAGTATACGGATTTGGGATGGGACGGTGGAAATGCATGTAACCAATGTTGTAACCATTTTTGTGTAATGACACTTACAAATAAAGTTAGATATATATATACACACATACCAAAAGAATAGGGGTGGTAGGAGAAGAAAATATCGAAGTGTTCAGTGAGGATCCACAAGGTCTTCTCTGAGTGCTCTTTATTTTCTTCTCCGAGGCTATGGGTCCCTACACTTGCACCAGAGGTGGTACCCCTTTTAAATATATATATATATATATATATATATATATATATATATATATATATATTTAAAAGGGGTACCACCTCTGGTGCAAGTGTAGGGACACTATATATATATATATATATATATATATATATATATATATATATATATATATATATATATATATATATATATATATATATATATATATATATATATAATCCTTGGAGAGCAGCGGCAGTAGTAACAGCAGAATCAGCTAAAACAGCAATAGCAACAGCCGCAGCCGCAGCGGCAGTATGGCGGTACTCGGTATCAATCCAGTCATAAACAAAAGAAGATCGGAATTCCCTGTCACATCCAGTAATCTCTAAGCGTCTGGCCGTCGGGTGGGAATGCGCTTCCACACTTAAGAATCAGATTGGATCGTGATGTAGAGGCGTTCAGTGCCGCTGTCTCCACACACGCTCTCGTCCTTATACTTGCTATACTCTCTCATTCATACCAATACTGATGACACGTTTCATCCTCGTGAGCAATGTTGGTAAACAAGATATTCCTCGGTGGATGGCGGGCAAGAGTATTTCTCAAGATGAAGTGTCATTGTCTTGTATTTCTCTGTCTCTCTCTCTATCTATCTATCTCTATCTCTCTCTCTGTCTCTATCTGTCTTTCTATCTGTCTCTCTATCTCTCTATCTCTCTCTCTCTCTCTCTCTCCCTATCTCTCTCTCTCTCTCTCTCTCTCTCTCTCTCTCTCTCTCTCTCTCTCTCTCTCTCTCTCCCTCTCTCTCTCTCTCTCTCTCTCTCTCGCTGTCAGCAAGTATGCTCATGCATGACTATATTTCATTGTGTGTCTCTGAGCATTGTAGATGATTGTCAGAGCTGTGCTGACAGCATCGTCATGATGATTGTCAGAGCTGTGCTGACAGCATCGTCATGATGATTGTCAGAGCTGTGCTGACAGCATCGTCATGATACGCAGCTTGTGTGTCATTTGTTATATTTACAATTACAAATGTAAACAAATAACACATTGCTCGTTAAATGTAAATTTCATCGTTTTATTTCATTAAATTTCATTTTAAAATTAATTTCATTGTTTCTGAAATGTATATTAATATCATTATTATATTGTGGGTTTACGTATAGTTGGGTTTAGGATAGGTTAGGCTAGGTTAGGTTAGGTTAGGTTAGGTTAGGTTAGGTTAGGTTAGGTTAGGTTAGGTTAGGCTAGGTTAGGTTAGGTTAGGTATTTACCTATCCTCCTGAGGGTATGGTTAGGTTAGGTTAGGTTAGGTTAGGTTAGGTTAGGTTAGGTTAGGTTAGGTATTTACCTACCCTCCTGAGGGTATGAGAGAGTGGGTATCAGGAAGTGGGTGCCAAGGATAGGAGCAGAGGGTGTATATGGGGAAGAGATTATGAGGGAGAGACAGGAAGGGTGTGACGGAGATAGAATGAAGGGAAAAGGATGGAGGGTGTGAGGGAGGCAACCCGTCCTCACACTAGGCTGGTTAAAGCGGCGGCCGTCCTCTCCCAGACACGTTCATCAATTTTAACATTCAGTGTATTAGCAAATGGTTTGTTCTCATATATATATATATATATATATATATATATATATATATATATATATATATATATATATATATTTATTTATATATATATATAAAATAAAATTATTATATATAAGAATTCTACGTATATTTAGGCATAGGTTAGGTTAGATATATAGGTTCTGTTGGCTATTATTTATACTTGAAGTATGTGGATGAATCATTTAGAGAATTGTAGTTCTATTTACAGAATTGTTATATATAATTGTAGAGGACGTGAGCGAAGCACTTGTTCCGGAAGTGTTCGGACGTCATCAGTTCTAAGTCGTGTGTAAACCGCTTTTCATTCATATACGGGGGGTTTGGGGGCTGGATTAACGAGCTTGGATGTCAGTATGCGAGGACGGGCTGTTTTGTGACCTGACACAGCCTGTCCTCTAAACAAAAGCTTAAAGTCCATTCCATGCACCCGGAATGCAAGCCGTCCTCAGACCAAGTTCATTCCAGCCAGCGGTCGACCCCAAATTCGCATTCGTCAATTTTACAGCCCGTCCTCCAAACAAAGACCCAAAAGTGATTCCATCCACCCGCCAAACCTCCAGCTGTTTATGAATGAAAAGCGGTTTACACACGACGCACAACTGATGACGTCCGAACACTTCCGGAACAAGTGCTTCACTGACGACTTGTGTTCGAACCACAACGCTGTAAATGCTTCACCCACGTTCTAGAAATATAAATAATCGCCAACAGAACCTGAACTCCTAACCTAACCTATCCTATGCTTATATACGCACAATATGCTAATATATTATAACATTAATTTATATTTGAGAAAACTTCCGTTTTGAATGAACAGCATGTTAAAATTTATGAATGCGTCTGTGGGGTCGACCGCTGGATGGAATGGACTTCAGTCGAGGACACGTTCCCCGCCAGTCACCTCATTACCTCGTTAGCTCTACTCAGTGACGGGTGGGATGTGCAATTACGGGCTCGCCATATCCCGTGCTACATGGACACTTCGTTCTGAGTAGCTAAATCTTAAACCACAAACAACAGGGATGTGTAGACCATTTCTAGGTGTTTATACAGTGAGTTTCCTTTAATGTAGTGTTGAGGGGTGTAGTGTACACGCTTGTTGGTCAGTAAACAGTTGTGGCGGCCTTAATAACCCCTCCACACGGTGATAGGCTTAACCCCAACACCAACATAGTGAAGGGTGTGTTGTGATCAGTCACGGGAACATCTGAACATCAATAGTGTTTCTGAAGAACAAAAACAAGTGTTCGGGCAAAGTGAGTTATAGAGACACGATGTTCACTAACGATGACGTGTTATTACTGAACAATTCTTGTGTTATAAGTGGCGTCTGAACTTTAATTCCAAGTTACTTGTCCAGCAAGATCCTAAATAATGCCCATAGTGGTTATGACTGGAGAAGTCTTGCCTTATAAGTATACTTTAGTTACTTTTATTCTCGTGTAGCAAGATGTTAAAAGTTACATTTGGTGTGTAAGTGTTAAGTTAGACCTGAGGGCAGGAAATGTCATCACTGTACGTGAGATTGTTGACTTAAAAGTGTTTAGTGTTGTGAAGACAATACCAGACGACAATTGGCCGTTTCGGTCGTTACAACGTTAACTACTCGTCGTCACCTCCAGTTCCTCGTCCAGTGTTTCTTGTCTTGTGTTGTGTTTACGTTGTTTTGCAACATTCTTGAGTGTTGCATAATATATCCCAATTGAAAATGAGAAGTTTGTGTATTGGAGCGTGACGGAGGCGGTGTTGGCCCAACCAACACCTGTCCGGCCTCGCTAGACAGTTGTTGGGCCAACCAACACCTGTCCGGCCTCGCTAGACAGTTGTTGGGCCAACCAACACCTGTCCGGCCTAGACAAGGTGGCCAGCGACCTCCTCCTTCAGATAAAGGTAAGAAACTCCTCAATCGTCAAGTCTCATCTTCACTTGAGCGGCTTATGTATATATGGATAAAAATGTATAATCATACACAGTGTTGTTGTATTTGTTTTAGGATTTAATGTTAGGAAGATTTTAGTAATTCTTGCGAATAATTCACCTTGTTGTCTACAGGTAAATACACACAAACAGCTCATCGATGGATAAGTTTTCTACGTCAAAGGTACGTCCCAATTTCCTGACCTCTGTAGATTTTGTTTTATGAATTAAAACACCTTTCTCAAAAACTCAATCTTGGGAAGGTATAAAATCCCCCTCGATGATCACTGGGCCTTGGAGGCACTCGGGACCCCTGACCTGGGCCTTGGAGGCACTCCGGACCCCTGACCTGGGCCTTGGAGGCACTCGGGACCCCTGACCTGGGCCTTGGAGGCACTCGGGACCCCTGACCTGGGCCTTGGAGGCTGTCGGGACCCCTGACTTGGGCCTTGGAGGCACTCGGGACCCCTGACCTGGGCCTTGGAGGCACTCGGGACCCCTGACCTGGGCCTTGGAGGCACTCGGCACCCCTGACCTGGGCGTTGGAGGCACTTGGGACCCCTGACCTGGGCCTTGGAGGCACTCGGGGCCCCCTGACCTGGGCCTTGGAGGCACACGGGGCCCCCTGACCTGGGCCTTGGAGGCACTCGGCACCCCTGACCTGGGCGTTGGAGGCACTCGGGACCCCTGACCTGGGCCTTGGAGGCACTCGGGGCCCCCTGACCTGGGCCTTGGAGGCACTCGGGGCCCCCTGACCTGGGCCTTGGAGGCACTCGGGGCCCCCCTGACCTGGG